AACTTCAAAACTGTCGGAGGGGGGGGGGTGGGCGGGGGGGAGGAAAATGCCGCGCAATTTGTCGGAGGCCGACAGGAAGAAGAATCAGTTCGACAAGGAGGAGAGGGTCCATTTGTTGGCCATAATGAAGCAGTACGCCCCTCTGCTTGACAAGAGCGCGTCAACGTTGACACGTAAAAAGATTTGGACGACGATCGAGGACGAGTTCAAGAAGGCGGGATTCACCCGCAAGACGTCCGCACAATTGAAGAAATATTGGCAGAATTACAAGTATCATTGCAAGAAGGCGACAGCGTTCAGAAAGGTATTTCTCCTTATTCCCTCCCCTCCTTTTTTTCTTTCTCTTCCGCAAGAAAATTCGCTTGTCCCTCCGTTAATCGCAAATAAACGGGATTATTCAATTATGCTCGTCAATAATCGTGTTTATTCTATTAATCTTTAGGAGGGGCAATGTTCAATTCTCGAAAGTCGTAATTACGAAATCGTCATCTCTTTTTGATCGGTCGTTTTTTTTTTTTTTTTTTTCTTTTCCTTTCTTTTTAATAAATTAAATCAAAACCTTCCTCGTTTCGTGGAAAATCTTTTTTTCGACGAAATAAATAAATTTACTCGCAACGAGACACGCGCTTCTTCGAAATTTTCTCTTTCGCTCCTCTTTCTCTGATAATTGATGAACTACCTGAATGAACGCTGAATGAATTGTAGGAAAATAAAAAGTACATAGAGTCAGAGGTGGCCGAGCCGCTCGAGTGGAATCGATACCAGGTTTTCGTGGAGAACCGTTCCCCCGCCAAATTCTCGGACATTCCTGGGGTGGTCCGATCGTTGAACGATCGCCCATCGAAATCCCCGATCGAATCAGGCTGCCGTTTCGGTGAAACGTACGAGGACGATAAAGAGTCATCTAGGAAATTGAACACGTCGGACGCTTTCATTGGTATAATTTCTTTTGCTTACCCTTTCTTTTGCCTCGATCGTTCGCCTCTAATTTTGATTGGAAATCCTCGTCGTCTTTTCAAATCGAACGAAAACGTGCACGAACACGGGAGGATACTACAAAGTTTGCCAAATTTTTAAGATCTGTCCCGGGTGAAGATGGAACGGAACGACGACGGGACGGCGTCCATCGATTGCAAGATGGAGGAGGCGAATAATTTAGAGAGCACGAACGTGGACGAGGATTGTTTGGAGGAGAAGAAAGAGATCTTCGTGAACGAGAGCCGTCTGCTACCGCCCTCCTCGTCCTCCTCCTCCTCGGCCAACACCACCGATTGCAAAACCACGTCGAATCGTATCGTTGTTTCGAACGCGCAGATTTCGAACAACAGCGTCACAGTGTCCGTGATATATCCTGAAAACAATAACGCCTACCTTCCCACGAGCACCGTGGAGGGAACGCTCGAGGTGCATTCGAAGTGCGGTGGAACAATGTCTGCGAGAAGGACAGGTATACATATTGGCCCTTTTACCGAATGATGTTTTATAAACAAAGCAATCTCTCCAATTTTTCAAAAATATCCCCCTTTTATAACATTACAATCTCTTTGAAGATTTAGGTTTATTTATTATTAAGTTTTCAATTAATTTCGATTATTTATAACTTGATAAATAAGCTTCGATACATTTTCACGCTCGTTTCTTTAGAATTCTTCGAAGGAGTCTCGCGATGAATGATTGAGAAACGACTCGTTGTTGAAATATCTGTCGTTATAAAATCATAATCGGTATCTTATTTCGGTACTTACTTTTTATATTTTGGCAGACGGTCTATGGAACGAGAGGAAATCCAGTTGCACAAATTCGACAAAAGTGCACGGTACAAACGCTGCCCATGTGACGGGATTCGGTTATCGCGATGTAATGGAGCGCAATGGCGATCGTGTCCGTTTAAACGAAAGTAAGATGGAACGAAGTGAAGAGACTAAGAGAAAGTCTAAAATTACCACTTATGCACAGGACGGCTCGTAATTCGTGGTACAAATAATTCAATCTTGATTTTCGAAGTCTTATTTTCGAGTTCTGGAAATTTTCTCCTTTTTGTATCATGAATCATTTACGAATCAGCCTGTATATATATATATATATTTCCTAGAAGAACAATTATAGGAATATTTAAGATTCTTGATAAAATTTTAGTGATTAAGGGAGACACACAAAAAAGTGAAACGGACAACTTGTGCAGAGTGTTTGGACGAAGTGGTTAGGAAATTTAAAAGGTGATTCTAAAGGCTAGAGCAAACAGAAAAGTTGGTATGGCAAAAAGTTGAAGCTTATTTTTCCAAGTTTATAGGCTTTGTTTGCAATCTTGCTCTAGATGAAACGAGATGGAGATACTTGAAAAGTAAGTTTGAACGGACTCAATCATTTTTGCACACCAACTTTTGCATTTGCTTTGATCTTTAGGGATCAACTCTTAAATTTAAATTCTTCTGTTTGTTCAATACACCTCCTTTTATAAGTTTATAATTTTAACATAAATATAAATTTGTTTATATTTTTTGTTCGTATAAAGTATCAAATTAACTAACTTTTTTCCAATATCTTTTTTGCCAATTTTCTTAATTTTTCAAATTTCATCAATATTGAACCGGTCTCTGATTAAGAGAGATCTTCTTACAAAGTTTTCAGAGGAGAAAGAAGTTTTAACTTCCAGCAAATTTCTTGTCTTTTCGAATTAAAAAGTTCACTCGATGTTGATTTCCTACATTTCCAACCATTTTGTCATTGAAAACATTTTACTGTAAAGGAATAACTGCAATTCCTTTCGTTTAACTTTTCCTATTACAGTGGAAAAGAAATTCTTTTATTTCCAATAACAATATTTCGTTGTATGTTCTTCATTGAAAACTTTCTTATATAATTTTTTCGAATTACAATTTTTAAAACGACATTATTTAAAAAACACCATACTTAAAAATTTTTAAATGTCTATCGCAAATCGATCTATTTCTTTATGACTTCCAACTTTTAAGATCCTTTCTCTTTTACGTACAAATATTATGAGAAAAACTTCCATCCAAAACTATCAAAAAATTTTAGGCTTTCGATCGTATTAAAGATGATTGGAATCTCTTACGCTAATAACAAATTTAATAACATATACGACAGAATGATGAAATTAATTGCGAACAAGAAGAAAGATGAAAACTCGTTGGCCCAATGATAATAGTATTAAAAAGAGGAGGGCGGCCGGTAAATTAATTCTTTGAAACGACGTACATTTGCAGACAGCGAGGAATGCGATTCGTTCGAGTGCAACGCGAACGATGAGAAACAGATCGGGGAATTCCCAAAGGAGGATTTCGTTGCGACGGAGAGCGACGAGAACGAGGGGAGCGCGGTTAAAGCAAGAAACTCTGGGCCTAGGAACGATCGTTTCGAATCCAGGGGCTACGTCTTTCTGACGGATTATCGTAATCGGCTGAAGCATAGGTTGCTGTTGCAGCAGCTGGAAGTAAGTTGGTCGAGAGGTTCTTGTTAGGAAATAAGGTGACCATGTCCCCTTTACTGCTTTGAAAACGAAGTCGACGAAGAATTACATTGGTGACAATTTTTCTATTTCTTCACCTAGCCAGAGGATCATTATATCACGATTTCAACACTTTTTCTTTCTTTCTTTTTTTTTTTTAAAGAATTCGTGAGAATTTGATATTTCTTTCGGTTACATTCTTTTTAAATTAACCCTACATTTTTTGATATTATTATCATCGTGTGAAAGCAAGTTCCAAGAATTTGATCGCATAGTTTTTATTATTTTTTTTTTCCAGCTGTATTCAATTCGTTCAATTAAATGGTCGAATAACGAATCTGATAATTTCGTGATAATTTAGCGTGTCGAAGCGTGTGACACGATGAGTCGACATTTGTTAAAAAAAAAAAAAGAACAAGTTGAAATGTGAAGGAAAGGGAAATTTTCGGCCGAAAAATTATAAACGATTGAATCAAGATGAAATACATTTTAATGAATATTGAAGTAGAAGCACAAGTAATAAGTAGGTTGAGTCGCCTACTTGACAGCACAACATCTGATCGGCAACCGACATATTCACAACTGTCGTCCATTTAACAGCATGTCAGCGGCATAATATCCATTTTCAATTGTTTACACACATTAGCGAGGCATCGTTGTGTATATTTCGTAATAAGATGAAACGCTCGTGCGAATAATCAAATAATACTCGATAATTTTTTTATTATTGCTTCGTTTATCTTGAACATCTGTGAATTTTGAATCAGGACACTGGAGTTTATTGAAAAAAAAATTAAAAAACTATGCATTATGAGAGGTAATTTTTCCTGAAACGCAGGTGCCTTTAGAAAATCGAAGATGCAAAGACGAAATACTTTATCTTATTCATAATTCAAATATATTTTCTTGCTCTTGAAAATATCTCTTATACAAGTATCACATAAGTGATAAGAGCAAGTGTTACGCGCGTTATTCGAAATCGTGATTAATTAATTAATAATAAAATTGGAGTAATAAAATCGAATGACGAAAATTCGAGAGAAATTCAAAATTATATGTACGGTCACCTTATTAAGAAAAAGAAAAAGGGGGGGAAGGGGGGGAGAGAAAGCACAGGACAAGGTAAGAAACAAAGGTCGTTCGTTGCAGACGGAGGAGAAACGGTTGAAAATAAAGATCGCCGAGATGGCGATCCAAGAGGTGCAGCTGAGGATAAAAGCGTTGAGCGAGGACATGCGACGGACCGAGGAATTGCACCGATTGCACTTGGTGCGCGCAGCAGCCGGGGATGCAAGCGTTCGGGTGGGCGAATTTCCGAACAATTCCTGAAAAAAGGAGGAAAGGAAGGAGGAAAAAAAAAATTAGGAGAGGAGAAGGAGAGAAGAGGACACGCGGGTTCGACGTGTGCTTCAAATTATTTTTATTATAATCACCATCATTATCGCGTGTTAACGATATTTTCGTCGTTATTTTAGAAAAAACGCCATGGGACCATACAAAATAACAATGCGCTTAGATTTTCGTGGGTAACCGAGCAACGTTATATTTTTTTTTTCTTTTTTTTTTCTTTTTTTTCTTTTTCTTTTTAATACTCGTGATATTCTTCGTCTTTTTTTTTCCGTCATCCGTCGTTAATTATTTAATTCGAGAGATCGACGGCGGCACACCGTCGAGAATAATAATTAGAGAACGGGTTAAGATCGCGTGACAAGATCAATTACATTACATCATTTGCTTCTTCGATCCGTTAATCTCTCCGCTGCCCCTCTGCCTATAATATTTCTCTACTCACCGCAGTCGCGATCATCGCCGTCCTTTTTTTTTATTTACAATCTTGCCCGTTCGTTCCCTCCTCTCAACTGTGCTTGTAACTAGCGATTTTCCTTGTATTTAGTGATTGTTAATAATTATCACAGAAAGTTCGTAAAACAATGATCTTTGAGTTACATGTTGATTCGTGTAGCGCCTCGTTTTTTAAGTAAGTTCGTTCTTTTTTTCTTTTCTTTTTTTTCTTCTCCTTTTTGCGTGTAAGTATATACGCGAGTGTGGGTGTAGTATACGCGTGTCTCTTCTGTCTTTTTCCTGTGCGCGCGACTCGGTATCGTGTCTAAGTATAATGTATACGTGTAGCGTGTATCTATCGAAAATCGTCTCTTCTCTTTTTTTTTTTTCGCTATCTTTCTTTCGCGTGTTTTTCTTTCTTTCTGTTTTTTTTCCCCCCCCGTTCACTTTTTTCGAGAGAGTTTATACCGTACGCGTCCTAGACGGAAAAGTTTGTCACGTTGCTGTAAGTAGAGTAACAATAGATTAGCGTTTAGTATATAACTAGCGATAATAGCGATATACGAGTATAACGGCACGCATTGGAATAGCCCCTTTAACTTTTTGCAGCATTTAAAAATATTAAATGTAACGCTATATAGTAGAATAGTTTCTTTCAATCATAAAAGAGAGAAGAAGTAGTTGATTTTCTTACTTATGGGATCGTCGGTACGCTGAACGAGTGAGGGAAAGAGAGAGAGAGAAAGAGTGGAAGAGAAAGAGAGAGACGGAGACAAAGAGCAGAGACAAAAAAGAGACCGATCGATAGTCAAAGAAACGCTCATATTCGTGTTTTTCATTTGTGTGTTTCTCTCTCTTCGTAGAGAAAATTCCATTTTTTCGTTTCGATGCAACTGGAAAAAATTCGTGTCGTTTCCCAAACCAAGGGCAGAACGTTGTAAACCTTATAAAGCCGTTTTGATTGTCGCGATTATGTTGCCCGTCGAATGGAATTCGAACTCGATATCCCAACACCTTTTTCTTTTATCACGCATGACCACATTTCCTTTTCATTGCGTTTCCAAACATTAATTTCAAACGTTTTCCTTCAAAAGAAGTGGAAGAACGTTTACGATAGAGATCGGTTTTTAAAAAAAAAAATCTCTTTTCCTCTCTTCTCGATGTCCCATCTATTAATTTTTGATAAAATAGAAAGAATTAGAATTATTAGATTGCGCACGAACATATCGGAATTCCGAAATTACCCGATTACGTACGAACGAATCGGAATTCCGAAATTAGCCGAATGCACACGAATGTATCCGAGTGGATACGAACGTAATTTAATGCACAACATGCACAGAAGCGAGAGCTTCCGAGTCGTTAAGCGCGCGAAAGTACATATCAGGAAGAATGTATAACTTTTCTTTATTTTTTCTTTTCTTTTCTTTCTTTCTCTCTCTCTCTCTTTCTCTCTTTCTTCTTCCCCCTCTCTTTTCTCATTTTTGCTCTCTTTGACGATCTACCACTTGTCTCGTCACCATTGGCAAGTCAAAGAGAAGAGAGATTGTAGTTCGACAAAGCTCCACTACGAGAGAATTTTTACACGGAAAGCAGCTAGAAATTTCTCATCTAAGCGGAAAATTTTCATTTCTTACTGTTTATTAATCACCATGAAAATGTAAAAATTACTTAATTAAGTCAATTCTCAGTCCGTGATTCGCTGGTATACGAACGAGTATAATTTGTAATCCGTTTTATAATCTCGATCGTATCGAGCTGCTTTTTCATTTGCACGCGGCTTCGACTAATCGATAACGAGTTATCGGTAAATTCAGGTGAATCGGTGATTCTTATTCTCGTAACTGGATTATTTCTCGCCAACTATAATACATCGAATTGACATAGAAAGAGTGAATATAATATAATTGGAAATTATATTTCTAAATTCAAAAATAACTTTTTAAATTATATGTACGATGAGATGTCAATTAAATCGATAGACTCTTAAATTACGAAGTCGAGAAGGTTAAGAATCTCCGATAAAGAAAATCTGTACTTGGCATCTAGTCGATACGAATAACGACGATATTCTGATAATGAAGAAACGATATACAGATAAATGAACATAAATATTTAAGTGTTCCGTAAAAAGTTACATTTACAAGCGTTTTCGAATCATTGTGTATATAGGTTAACTTCACAATCATCGAATCTATTCCTATATATAATATTCCATCTTGCATTTCGAAACATAATTAAAATCTTTATCATTTTGTTTGTATCTTACAAACGTATAGAACCTTCTTACTTCATTTTAAGGTTAATCATTTCTTCTAGAGATAAATTTTTCTTCTTAGCGACGAACAAAATATATAATTCCATTTGTAATCGAATTTGCAATGTTCCAATGGAATTTTCACCTGTAATTCCGGGAAAAATCAACAATTTTATCCCCGTAAGATCCTTGTAAAATATACTTTGAAAGTAAACCGTAAAAAGTTAAAGTTCAAATATTTATATCAATATATCTTGACAGATAAAGAAATGCTAGATGGAATATTTTCGTTTCGAAGAGACTTGAAATATATCCTCGAGAAAATGATTATTATATAACTTCTCGATCGTTCTTCCGAAAACTTTTTCGCGATAAAATTCATCGATAAAATAACGAATCGAAAATATCATCAAAATTGAATTCATTCGAACAAATTGAGAATATTCATCGTCGTGAACCCGTGATCGACTCGAGTACAAATCACCTGGTATCATCGCACTCCATCCACCCTTCGAAGCAATCGTCGCTTCTTAAAGGATGTCGATGGATTTTTAAAATTCACTCGTCAAAATTTCATAATCATCACCGCTAACAAAATTCTTCGATTATTGCTACTGTTTGACAACGATCGATCGAGTAATTCGACAACGAGTGATTCGTTCTCTCCCTCTTTGCCTATACGACAAACATTCGCCACTCGAGGTTAGAAATTCGGCAACGAACGATGATGAACGGACTCGAGACGAGACGACGATTTTTCGAAAAAAAAGCGCGTGCTCGACGCGCCGTTGCCGAACGTAGCACGCATACAGGTATATATATCAAACATTTTGCGATTCGCACGCGCGAATCCACATTTTTCTACGTCTACGCGTCTTTCTGCTAAAAATGTAACCCGTTGTCTTCGTTGCACCGTGCGATCACGGCGCAGAAAAAACTTTTTCGATTTGACAAGGAACAAGAGTAAATTCTAATTCTATCTAAGATCGTTTAAAGTTTCTTTCTCGCTACGGATCGCAAGATAGATGAAAAGTTTTTATTACGTTCTAATTGAGAATGACTTTGTTGTACGAACGACAAAGGGGAAATATTTATCTTTCTTTTCTTTTTTTTTTTTTTTTTTTTTTTTGAAATCTCTTTGAACGATTGATTGACAACTTAAATATATATTTGTCAAATATTTTCCGTGTTGATTTGTTTGAGAACTATACATATGTACTCTTTGTCAGATTATGTCAGGATGCAACAAGTGACGTGTTAAACCCTCTAGATATTTTCGAGCAAATATTTTCGATTCGAAGTAATGGAAAAAGAAGGAATTTTTGGAATTACCGTGACATAAGATGGTTTGTAAATTTTAACAAATGGGAAGAAGGAAATGGAAAGAGAAAATGGAAGTCGGGGAAGGAATTTTATGGCTCGAGGATATTTTATTCGTCGATTAAAGTTTCGTACGCGCGGCGAGGCAAGAGAAAGAAAGTATCGTGGCTTCGGGCTAAGATTTCAAAGGATTTTTCACCGCGAGCACACATTTTACTCCGTTGTTTATCTTTACTTGCTCGTTCGTTTCTTTCGCCATTTTACATCGCTCTGTGAAATTTACACAAGGCGTAAAAACTGTGTCACAGTGCATATTCTAATAACACACAAAAGGAACCTCCTCTTCCTCAACTTCGGTGACTTATTTTAATGCCAAACTCGAAGTTGAAACTTTGCGAAGCTTCGAAAGTCTTTCGGGACTCGAAATTATCGAAACTTAAAATGCTTATTTCTTTTCATTCTTCTACCCTTTTTTAAGAAAAATCTTCTTTATGAAAGATTAAAATTACAATTTTTAAAAGTTCTCAAATTTAAGTTCGTAAGAAATTAATAGTTCAAATTTTATAGATTATCATAAATTAAATAAAAATGTTTCTATATCATCACAAAATTTTTGGAGTCAACAAAAATTATCAAAAAGTTTCTCAATTCGAGAATTTCTTTAAGTTTCACGATTTCGTTTTCGAAGTTTCGATCCCATCCCTAAACAAGCTCATCAAATATCAAATATAGTTCTAAATTGCAAAATATCATAATTTATAATTAAACATGTTAAAATTCCATTTGAGCAACGATTTAAACAAATTTGTCATTCGTCTCGCGACGAGAATCCAGCACGAAACGAAATTTTCTCGTAAATTTCATGGTGCACGAGGGTGGAATAACGAGGAGAAGCGCAACGAATCGTGAATAAATCGAAAAAAGACCAGCGATCGTAAGAAGATGGGCAAAGGGTGATATTTGCGGATATAGTGGTATCGAATGTTTTCACGTGAGTCTAATAGAAGACGGCGACGAAGGAAGAATAATGGGAAGTTTGCCAATATCGAGAGATTTTTCATTGGCCGTCAAGCGAGGATAGCGTTGGGGATTTTAGCGTGGAGGTCGCGCATGCGATTTAGTTACTAAATATTTGTCCGACTCGACCGATATATAGATCCGATGTTTAATATAATCGCGCAGCCGAAAGAGGGCGAGCTCGAATATCGGCTGTGGGCCGCCATTTAAAATTGATGCGATCGCACGAGGAGTTCGCGCGTCTATTTAACCGATTAAAGTTGCAAGATCGAGGGATTATCGTGGCCAATTTGAGACGACTATTACTCGAAACGGAATTTTATTCTGATAATCTATGAGTAATTGGCCTTCTTAAGAAAATCCGTTTTATAAATTCGAATAAATTGAATTAATTGATTTTTGAATAATCTATCGAGAAATCGTTATGAAATAGTAGATCAAAAATATGAAGTGTTTCAAAAATCAGATTCAAGAAGATATATCGGAGAAACTTGTTGCTTGCTCGACATGCCGAACATGTTGGAAATTATTTATTATTTATAAAATTTGTATTATCAATACTGATATTTTTATACACGAATACTATAAATTGACATTTATTCCATTCGGAAATATTCATTTTTATTATTACGGTAAATCGATCAAATCATCGAACGAGAAAAAAAAGTTGAAATACCAAAATAAATAGCTAAAAATAAATTAGAACGAATAAATTAGATACTAAAAAAAAAAAAAAAAAAGAAATCACTATGATCTATTCAAAGTATTATTTATCACCGACTGTAATCCCTGGAACGTATACAGAAGCATGCCTCGCATATCCGAAATTATAATTTTCGTGTGTGTTATCCATACATATCCGTATATGTATATATATATGAGTGTACGCGACAAGACGGCGACAGTGACGACGATGGCGACGGCATAATTTATGTAATGGCGCAAGCATCCACGAAACGAACGATATCCCTCTAAACGAACATTCCGCGCATTCTAAACCACGAAAAGTTCGAATCCGAGCGGAAAGTTTTCGATTCGAGTGCGCCCGTTAAGCCGAAACGCGAAAAGTTGTTTGGTTTTTGGAAAACATTTCACCGGTGGTGGTAAACTCGGTACAACCTCGGTATAATGACGATCGATCGATACTGGGAAAACTTATACGGTGTAAAACGATTGATATCGATTTTACGGGAAAAATGGTTAAAAACGAGCTTGGCTCTGGAATATATGTAACGTGCGCGTTATAAAAATAACGTTTTAATAAACCGGGCGAATTATATGTAAACTTGCGTCAAAAATAAATTATCGCGAAATTTTCGAAAAATTCACTGTACGTAATATATTGTTACGCGAGTTAATGGAATATAATATAACCGAATGTAAAGAAAGATTCACGTAAACACGATGTATTTTAATTTACATTGAAAATAATGTAATAAAGAGAATGGAACACTGCATCTTCAGGTTTATATAAGTCGATTGAAATGCGAAACATGCACGATAAGAATTTAATTGTTATGTAAAGATATGCATATATTACGTATTTATACCAGAAGGATACGACGTATTAATAAAGAAAATTGGAGAATATCACGAAAGGAAAATATAAAAAGTACGTGTAATATGTTAATGTCAAGTGCTTTCACGTTTGGTGATAGAAATTTCTCGGGGAGTAAGCTTCGAGAAGGGAGCGCGCAAGATTAATCGTTGTTTCAGAATTGTTTGCTACATAAAGAACGGTCGTTATACCGCTGAATTAACCCTTCGAGGACTATTTGAGCAAGAGAGTGTGTTTTATCGTCGACTCGGTGCGAATAAGAGCAAAATATAAATATGTCGGCTATAAATTAATTATTTGTGAAAATAATTAGACGAAATGGGTGAAATAATTCATCGTTCAATTGTGAAATAAACATGGTGCGAGTGGTTTGTTCGTGTAGAGACGAAAAAAATATCAAAGAATGCGAACGAAGAGGAAATATATCTACAAGTTTATCAATATCTGAAGGCAGATAGCGTGAAATTGCACTATAACGAACTTTAATAAGCGACACGTATTAACGAGCCGCTTAAACTTCGTTTCACTTTGCTGTAAATTTAGCGGTGCGCGCCAGTTTTCGAAATCGTGGCTCGGATCGGCAAAAATCGGCTCCGGTCGGCAAAGATCGGCCGAGCTTTCGAAAGTAACCGAATACGTACGAAGATTACCGAAGGAATTGTTCACCACTTTTTATTAATCGTATCTTCGTTTAATAATACCAAAAAATATAATATTTTTCTTTTTAATACAATCGTTACGAACATTTCTCTTATAGTCAATTTCGAGTTAATATCTCGTTTCACCCGTCTATCAGAGAATTTTAACGATCTGAAATTTCGCAATGGAAAGGAATCAAAGAGATTCAAACGAAGATCCATTCAAATCGGAACACGAGCTTTTTGGAGATGCCCCTTTTCACGATTGCAATTTCTCGTTTTGCCACCATTGAAACGAGGAATAATATTGTAAGCAATGTAAAGATGTAAACGAGGAAGAGAGAAGTTTCTATTTCCCAATCATCGATATCACTCTCCTCTTCGCGTTTCAATTTTGCTTGACTATGCATCGAATTTTTATCAATGGATATCCTTCGAACGGCTCATTTACCGTGTTCAATCAAACTGCCAATTTTTAATGCGTCCATGTTAAATGAACTTTCACACTACTTTTCCATCTTTCTTTTTTTTTTTTCTTTTTCGGATAAAAAATAAAAGTCGACCGCACGTATCTGTAAATAGGTAAAAGAGAAATGGAAAAAACGAGAAGAGAAGGTGCAACGAAAGGTAGAAAAACGTTGTGCAGATAGAAGGAAAATGGTTGAGAAGATGAATTCAGATGAACCCTGTAAAATCGAATAAATTTTTCTCCGGTCGATCCGCTGTTTCGCTGTTTTTCCTTTTTTTCACGATATCAGACCGCAGCCGGTATCCTTTGAATCTTTCATAGACTATCTTTGTCTGAGACCTCGAATACGTTTAAATCGTAACTCGTTCGACTGATTTTTTAACGAGATACGAACCCTTCTCTAGGAGATACCGTAAATACGTAACGTCTTCGCGAAAAATTTCTCCCTTTGCACCTCTTTGAGCGCCACACGTGCGAGGAATACTCGATTGCATTTGATAGTAGTTTGGATTCCTGGTGGAAAATATTAAACGGGTGAGGGTAAGCGAGCGAATCCGCTTCCCCTTTCTTTTCAATGTATCGTTTCGACGTCCATTTTCGATTCTGGAAACTTTTGTAGCGCGAAAGGATAACAAATAGGGAAACGTGATTCTTAGATTCTCGAATTTGAACGAATTTGTGAGAAAATCCAGAACGATTATTTATTTTTCTCCAAAGAATAGTCCAATTTTTGAAATTTGACGAAAAATCTGATTTTTCTCAATCAATTTCGATGTTTCAATTGAATTATCCTTTGTAATAAGATTTATTCTTTTTCTTTTTTTTTTTTTTTACCTAACGATCAGAGAATGCAAAAGATCAAAGAGACGTGGAAACGTGTTTTTTTTTTTTCGAAGGAGGTATCTCAATGCGAATTCGCAAGAGAAAAGGATAACCCTTGACTGCACTTTTTCTTTTCCTTTTTTCCTTTTGTCACTTCAGTCATTCTTTTTTTCTTTTTTCTGGATTCATCGTATTACGCGTATTCGTATTCGACCACGTTTCGCGGAAAAAGAAAAAAGAAAGTCAGAATGGGAATGATGAAACGTTTGCCCTTTTTACTTTCCTCTTATTTTAATCACTTTCCACACTGACCTTTTTTTCACCAATGCTTTCTTTTTCTTCTACTCTGCATTCATTTCTCGCGGGAATAATATCGGGTCAATAGTTCAATTTTCCAGAAACTTTTCGTATTAAAATAATAAATATTTCTTTGTGCTTGGAGCGAAAAGAAGAGAGAAAAGTTGCGTTGAAAAAGGAAGAAAGGTTCAAGAAGTGATTTAAAAAAATTCTGATTTTTAATAAAGGTTCGAATTATGCAATTTTTTCTTTTTTTTTTTTTATCAACAAGGTATCTCTTTGAGAAAATTAAATTAAAAAAGTTAAATGAAAACTTTTGAAATTTCATCGTCCTTTTCGAATACGAGATTCTTGTCTTGAGAATTTTTCAACAAGGATTAGATTAGAATACTAAATTTCGAATGTAACTTTTTAATTAAAAGTATCTCGTTTATTATTGATTCCGTTAATAAATAATTGCATCGCGTATTGCTCATGAAATTTCATCGAAGAGAAATCTTCTTAATTTTCTTTTCGAAATTTCGAAATTACAGTCTCCTGAAGTGAAAACAGTTTTCTTCCTCGCCATATGAGTTAATTTTTATTTCAAATCGATCTTCTTATCATCTTATCGCCTTCGAAAACTATCTCAACTTCCGGATCGAGAGCAAGCACTTCCCTTGAACCAGTTGAAATCAATTTCAATCGCCCGTTACTTCGATCTATCTCACGTTGAAAAACAATCGAGAAACAATCGATCTCCATCTTTCGAATTTATTTCATCTTCCTAACCACCTCCCCAATTGTCGTTCGTACAAAGAAAATCGTATTGTAACGTCGTAAACCGTGTTTCGAATACAAAGAATCTATAAAATCGACGATCAAGCCACTACTCTGAGATTCTCTACTGTCCCTATCTTCTTGCTACGATCGCAACAATTTTCTTCAAAACGATTCGTGCAAAAAGGGAAGAAACAACGCCCTCCGCGCGCGCGAGGAGGAGAAAGAAACATAGAGAGATAGAGAAAAATGGATAGCGATAGGAAGAGAGAGAAGAAGTTATAACAAGAGGATCTATCTCGTCTCGTATCTATTTCATAATTTTTCCTCTCCTCCTCCTCCTCCTCCTTTTTCTTCTCCTTCCTCTTCTTCTTCTTCTTCCTTCTTCTTTTATTTATTTATTTATTCTTTTTTTAATTACAACTGTACCTACGTATGCGTGTACGCCGGGCTGCGAAAACGGATTCGACACCCAACATCTCTTCTCTTTCTTTCTTTCTTTCTTTTCTCTCTCTCTCTCTCTCTCTCTCTCTTCTC